AGATAACCATGTTTTCCCAGCAGGACCTTACACTGGAATGAGTAGAGGTGTGGGAATATCAGGTTTCTTCAACTGTCTTCCACCCAACAGCTTTGCATCTCCTGCCAAAGACAGAGAGGAGGGGGAGAAGCCATCTGTTGAGGGCTAGTTGAAGGTGGTGTCCCAACATCTGATAAGTACTGCATCAGTTATCCAAATCATTTCTCTCTCACATCCCTAATCTGAGATAATTTAGCACTAACCAGAGTGCAGAAACTGCATTTATGAGATGTGGGATGTCCAGTGATTTTGCCATTAAGAGTTCTTAATTCCAGTTAATAGAGTTTAATATTTTCCTCAGTCCTTCCCACTGTTTTCTTTTTGTGTCTTTTCCTGTATCAAGTTTGTTTTTGCGTCTGAGTTTCCCGAGTTACTGTTGCCTTCTTCCTGTTTTACTTTGATAGTTAGTTGCCGTCTGTGTCTTGTATCCAGTTTTACTTCCTCCCCTGTGGTTTTATTGATTGTGCACCTGTGTCTCATTTCCTCCCAGCTGTGTCTAATTCTTTTGATTAGCCCTCAGTGTGGGAGTATAAATGGTGTTGTCTTCCCTTTGTCTTTTGTTACAGCAACTGTTTGTGTTCTTTCTCTGTTTCCTTGTGTAACTTCTGTTGGATTTCTTTGGCTTTATAGACTTACTCTTGGACTTGGACACACATATCTGCTTGCCAGTGCTGAGTAATGAATTAATAAACACACGCAGAGAGTCGAGAGGTGCAGTTCAGTGACTCAGAGTAGCGGATGAGGCCTAGCAGACAGCGATGGGTTACAACTACCTGCATGTGGACACCTGCTAAACGGGCCAGATCTCTAAATACAGTTTGGATAATGTACTTTGGGGTCTGCATCATTTTCATAAAGGAATGAACCTTCCACAGAGGTGAAATGTGTATCTTGCAGCAGGCTCTAAACACGTTTGTTCTGCTGTAAGTTTGGACACGTTAGCATGAGACTCATTTTTGGAGCCTCCAATGGCCGTTGGAGGAACTACACATTTGGCAGCACTAGCTTCACTTTCAGCCCTGGAGGTTGCCGCATGGTCTGAACTAATTTTAGCTGTTAAGCTTTACTGTTGTACTCTGAGCACCGACTACCAAGTGTGTCTACATTTTGGGATTGAGTCACTGCGCTTTTGTTCTCCGATTAAAAAATAAATCTGATATTATAGCAGGCCTGATCTGTAAAGACTGAAGTTTGGAGGAATTAAAAAAAATAATTAAAGCTTAGTTTGGAGTTGATTGCTTCTGTAACACAATTGTCATCAAACTGAAACTCTTTCCAGAGGAACAAATCTAATCTCGACAATCACACAATCAGATCGTTTCACATCTTTTTTCTTCATTTAGGAAACAAATCAAATTTTATAAGTAAAGACAACTGAACAAAACTGGGACAAAAGAGAATCTTATGACTGGAAAAAGGGTCGGCTGTTATTGCCCACTGCCCCCAGCTGAACACTGGTTTTACTGGGCAGCTCCCAGTTGTGATTGTGTGTATTTGTTTGCATGTCGAGTTCACATTTTCACCAAACGGCTGGACCGAATAAGTCACGCTGAAATGTGGGACAGATGTTGTTGCACCATCACTGTAACACAGTTACTGTACAGTAAATCCCAGCAGGTATTGCAGCAGATGACCAGCAGTGCTCAGCCTGGTAAGATACAGCGTCTCTTTGCCCCACATACAAACTCCCACCACCTCCCCCTTTACTGCATATTGTGTTTGCAGAAGGCTTCACATAATTTAAAGTGACAAGCCCCTGTCTCGACATTCCCTCCGTCTCTCCTGATCCCCCCACCCCCACTGCCTCTGTTTTATAACCTTCTTTTCTTTCCTGCCATGGATACACACCGGTATGTTGCTGAAGAATTACATCTGTGACCACCTCGGACGCTTTTCTTTCAGACTGTACGGCTACAAATATTTCTGTTGCCAGGCTGAATCCTTAGACTGGCAACATTTCGGATTCACAGGCGCGAATGCAGACGAGTCATGGTGATGCACACCCCGACCCCGACCATTTCCAGAACCGTGGAACTTTGAACACCATGGGAACTTTCTGAGTGGTGTTTACTCAGCATGGCACTATCATTATGCAGCTTTAGATGGATTTCTAATAAAATAAGCATAAATTATACATGCAAGGGCATCTGTAGCTTCAAGCTGTATGACAGTTTCTTAACTTTGAGTTTATAAAGTCAAAAGTCTTGCTTTAGTGCATCTGTGCTGCTCGGCAGGTCAATAAGAGGACCCGACGGGACTAGATCAATAATGCACAGAGGCTCCAGCCGTCGAACGCTACACTACAGGGCCTGTAATTTACAGTTTGTTTGTAGTCCACCGCCGGTACATTATGTGCCTGTGTGTCTCGATGCATCACTCCCACTCCCATTAGCTGCAGAATAAAGTCAGGGGATGTGGCTGAAAACTCAACAGATAACCTCTGATCAGATTGAAGCTCTGTATTTGATTCAAATACCACGGGGTCAGCGTACTTGCTGTGTTTTATCAGATCCTCCTGCAGTGCTGCTGCTGTTTACTTTCCTCCTCTCTCTCTCTCTTTAGAGGGTTTAAACACTTTCATCATGCACAGCACAGAGCTGCTATCCCTTAAAAGTGGATACAAGCACCAAAATCTGAGAGTTTACCCTGATGCCATTCATTAGAAAAATCCCATCAGCAGCTTGAATTTTCTTGAATTGTCAAAATAACCATCGAGCAGCTATTTTACTGCAGAATTTTGACATTTCTGAAGTTTCACTGATGATCTCTCTATTTCTGACCATGACTGAGTCAAATTTATTCCCCAGAGCTTCCTTTACTTATTTCTTTTAATGAAAATCATCACAAACCTGCAATGGATCCATCCTGGGGATGAACCTCCCACCTCAACCCTTCACCATCAGCTGCTCTTTGTTATGCAGTATGGCCCTCGAAGAACAGCAGCTATCTAAGCAAAGCCTTTCAGTTGAAGAATTTTGCCAACAAGTGGATTCTTTTATTGATTAACTTCACTTTTATAACTTAAACCTGATTGTCAGTGCTGTGCTCTCTGTTAAGGTGGCAGAGCAGATATATTCCCTCAATCCTCTTTCATGTGATTGATGATTTTCTTTGGCACAAAAAAAGGCCAAGACCTCAAAGCCAAAAGCTAAAAATGAAATACTCTGACAGGGTTTGCAGTAAAGGTTGAAATTAGAAACAATTTCCACAAATGAACCTTTTTATTTATATACTGTGCAGGAGAGTGAAATATTTCTGCTTCATCCTCTTACCAAACATTTCAAAACATGTGGTTCGGGTCATAAACTCAATGAGCACATTAGTAAGTCAGGTGTATCCTGTTCCTTATCCTCACCCTGCACATTATTTTCCTTTCTGTGTCTCCTTATAACTTGTGCATAAATAATGAAACTAAGCCTGTTCACTCATGCAAACAGCGCGCCGACTGTAACGGATCACCTCCACGAGGCCAGCCGTGCTTTATGCGTCAGCGGTCACAAGGGGGCACTAAACTGTTCCCCATGCACGGAGACTTCATTCCCATTCATGTCACTGTTTCCTTGACAGACTTTGACACGTGTGTGAGGCAGCGCTGCTGTCATGTGATAGTGAGAGATTTTGCTGTTCGACAGTTTTTTCTTTTGCCTCTGGGTTCCTGGGATAGTTGCAGTTGTTGGAATAGACAGATGTTCCCACTGTTTTCACACGGGGTATTTTGCCTGAGGTGTGTTTGTGTAACAGAACGACAGCTGTGTGTGTGTGTGTGTGTGTGTGTGTGTGTGTGTGTGTGTGTGTGTGTGTGTGTGTGTGTGTGTGTGTGTGTGTGTATAGGGGGAGAGAACAGAGTGTTTTGTTGTGTACTGTGCAGGTTGCTGAAGGACAAAGTGAGTTTTTATGGCTGTTACTGCAGTATCATCGTTGGCCCTCACATTAACACTCACTGCTGACAAGCCTCAAGGTCCAAACTATTAACTACAGCATGTTTACACAGTTGGATCAGTGATATCAGAGCTAACCACCTCATTCACTCACAGCCCAATGAGCAGATTAAAGCACATCTGCCTGTCCATTCTTTTACCAGCTGACTATAAACAGCATGTACAGTACATGCTACTGGAGTCTTATAATGCTCATGGAATGAAAGCTCGAATGGTGGAATAACAAATTACATTTATTACATTTAATTTTTATTACAAAAATCTCTTTCATGAGAGTGTGCTTTCCAAGAATCATGAGCAATAACAATTAAACACAGAAATGGCCTTAAATTTGTGGAGTTCTTACTGATCTGCTGTTTGGGACAGATGGAAAGGATCTTAAGACCTAAAACAATAACTTCCCACACTTTTTTGATGAATGCAATTCAGTAAGCGAGACAAGAATAACCTTATGAATGATAACATACAGGTGGTTGCGTGCAACACATGACACAGCGGACATAATGCATACTGACTGCTATTTTGTTGCTAAATCCTTTGCATTGTTTTTAAGCAGCTATTAACCTCAGAGTTCAAATATCTGTTCGGGTGTAAAGGGATGAATCCGTGCCAGTTCATCCGATGGCTCCCACCTGACCATCACAGACTTGGTTGGGAAAGATGGCCAGAATAAAACAAAGATTCAGGCTCTTGTTGTCATCCCCCCAAAAATGTTAAAATCCCATTAGCTTTAATTATCAACTAATCAAGAACTAATGATTTTTTAGGTAAATCTGTGATGGTCAGGTGGGAAATGTTTTAAAATGTTGATGAACTGAGATGGAATGACTCCAATTTCAAGTGAGTTTCTCTCTTGTGCAGCTGCTTTTCCTGTGGTATCGTGTGTACTGGTGCACATGAGCCTGAAAATCATGCCACTGTTTTCAGATTTCATCGTAAGACATGATCTTGTTACCAAAGACATTTTTCACTGTCTCACCATTCACTCTTTAAATTCCCCTCCCTTCCATCTTCTGGCTGCAGGTCGAGAGAAGAGAAAGGGTCCCATGATCTCTGCCGGCGATGCCGAGTTCCCCCGGGATTACCACACCCTGGCTGCCACTGGTGGCCGCGGGGCCCGACGGTTCCCCGACAACAGCAACGGGGGCTTCACGTCGTCCTCGCTGGACCGCCGGCACAACTCTGTGGCTGCCAAGAGCCTGGAGGCCCTGAACAGCATCCACAAGGCTGACATAGAGCGTCAGCGAGACGCCATCATGGACCTCCAGAAAAACAAGTTCTCCAACAGCCCCAGCAGCATGTCACAGGGCTCCCCCGCTGCGGGCCGACAGGTACTTTCACACTTTCTGCTCTGATGTGAACAAACCAAAAAGAAACAATAAGCGGACGAATACTTCCCTTTGTGACATGAGTAATTATAACTGCAGCAGTGGTGGTCTTGGCACTTTAATCCTTGTTAATTCTACTTATAATGAGCTAAATCTCTCACATTCACTCCATAAAAATAGAAGGTGGGATTATTTTCCTGTTTCCATCAATCCTCCTGAGGACGATTGGTGCAGGATACACCACCTTCATCATGACTCATACTGTTTATCTTAGCAGGCGGAAAGAAGTTTCTAATCAGTCGGCTGCAGTTTATGTGGTTTCTTTTATAGTTTGTCAGGAAATCGAGCGAACAGTCCTGCGAGAATACCTACAGAAGGCAGCGTGCATACGCAAAATGATGAAGGGAACTCAAATGGCAGGTTTTTTAAGTCACAGTAGACACTTTGCTTTCACTGTGAGCTTCTGTCTTGTCACTGATGACAACAGCTGAGGTTATTGGAGTTAACTAAAATGAAAATAAACCAGGCGTGAAAAAAACACATTATAAGAATAAAAACTAGAATTCTGAAATCAACAAAAACCACCTGAAACCAGATTTTACTGCCCTGTCACTTTAATAAAAGTCATTTATCAATCCAACTCAATTCAACAACTTAAACATGACTCGATTTTTTTTAACTCCGACCATCCAATCTACCAATCGTTTTTACTCAGAGATCGTGTGTTTAAATTCAGAAGACAGAAATTCGATATTTATTTTTACCTTCTCCTGTATAAAACTATACAAAGGGTCAGTTAAGGTTTGCTCTGCTGCCTCGGTGGGGGACTAATTAAATCGACACCGTGTACTTCACCTAGTATGCTCAAACCCACCTCCTCCGGCTCCTTTCGATTTTGTGTAGCAGCTCTACTCCGAGCCTCTCCTGAAGGAGCTGCTCACCCTGTCTCTAAGGGAGAGCCCAGACAGCCTTTGGAGGAAGCTCATTTCTACCACGATCCTACTCTTTTGGCACGCACAGCTTGTGGCCATAGATGAGGGCAGGAACATGGCTGTTTGTGTTTCACAACTTCCTCTCATTACCACAGCAGACTGATACAGCATCCACACCACTGCAGAAGCTGTGCAAATACATCTGTCAGTGTCCCGCTCCACTCACTTCTCACTTGTAAACCAGAGATACTCCAGGCAGGAGAGGGCAATCCAGCCCTTTCCAGTGGAGAATCACGGCTCAGACTCAGAGGGGCTAATTCTCTTTCCATGTGCTTCACACTTGGCTGCTCCAAATCGCCCCAGCGCAAGCTAGAGGTCACGTTTGATGAAGTCAGGAGGCAAGGATCGTCTGCAAAAAGAAAAGAGGATGATATCCTCTGCCTCTGCTCCCAGCAAATGTGTCCGGTATCGCTGACAGGGCAGCATGTCACAATTCAAATCATAAATATATCCATACATATCCATATCATATGAAAGGAAATATATAAGACATTGGAATAAAATTAGTTTGACAGTGACTTTCATCCATGTAGCCAGCTCCTACGCAAACAGATCAGAAAGAGTAAATGAATTCAGTACAAAAAGCAAAATAATTGGTGGTCATAGGGAACAAAAATACACTATCTGTGAAAGTTATTGATGCTTTTCTGGTCCTGTGCAACATTTTAATTGGTCAACAGATTTCTAGGATTGAACTAGGACTGATTCAGTGGTTTTAGAACCTCCCAGTAAGGACTTGTTTCCTTATGAAGTCCTAATTTGATCAATAAAAGCTCATATCGTGTATGGATTATGACACAGAGCCACATCCACAGTTTTATACAAATCTAGAGGGGGGTGCATCCTCGGGGGAGGTATGAGTGCTCTCCGAGTGCTGTCGGCTTCTACATGTGAACATTTTCTTCCTGAGAGATAATAGCAGCACATCGGCGGGCCTGCAAACCCAAACAAGAGCATTATGTGGCGAGACGCCTCTGGGGCTTTAGACACACGGATGCAGTGGAGGCATGTTTACGACCTGCTCGCTGGGCCAGAAATGGCCACCTTCTCAGCGGTTATTACCTGAAAAACGTCAGCAATAGAATATGGAGAAAAGAATTGAAGTGAGACAGCGAGCGAATGTCAAAATGTGAGACACCTCCCTTCATCAAATCTCCTCCCTCCCTTTGCTCTGTCTTTTTTTTTCTTTGCTTCATATTCTCAGCTTCACTCTGCCATCCATCAACGCATGCTCTCATTTGATACCTGTGACAGATGGTCTGCTGCAGCTCTTCTCTGTTCGGCTTTAGGGAATAACATTCAGCCATAGGGGCTTATTTTCAGTCTTTCTCAGAAGGAGATGATGTCCTATTTAAAATGCGGGGCTAGAGCAAAGAGCACCTCCCGGGGCTACAAAAATAAAGAAAAACCGCCGTTCCTCTAATGGCCACTTGAGTCTGGTTTCAAAAACGAGTCAATCCCGACAGACTTAAAATGTTAAAATGTACAACTTTACAGTGGAAATAGACATTTTCAAAACCCAGTGTGTCATGTCACGTTGCTATGTCCATTTATCATAGTCTGTAGGGTCATTTGTGTCATTTGTGTCATGAATAGATTCATTTATCAGTTTTCTGATTTTTACCCCTGGTGGCTGGAACATGTACACTATCTATAGAGACCAAACATACTTTTAGGGATGTAAAGTTAAAAATTTTAACGTGGGGTTTGTTTTGGTTTTCCAGAAAACCTCTGCTGGCCATTAGAGGAACTACAGTTTATTTCACTTCCATCTTGACTTTTTTTGCATTTATCTTTATTAGCACCCAAGGTTTCTCTAAGTTATAAAAGCAATAGATCCAATAAATTTAGTCCTTTGTCAGGACACATCGTCATGTAAACTTTAAAAAGATCCTACTGTACTCAATCCTGGTGCCAACCAGTGTGATGCTGTACCTTATTAGTGAAGGAAGAAGCCTGAATGACTCATACGAATGGTCAGCTGAGCTGACCTGGATCTCTTGCCTGAGAGAAAGTCAGAGGGACTAAAATGTCTCTGGGTTTCATGAGAGGCTTTTCCAGGGTCACAGAACTGGACTTGGCCTAACTGTAGTTTTCTGTGCAGGAGAAATGAGGGCAAATCCAGGTAGGGTGCAAGCATGCCATCCAACTGCAAGCCGAGTCGCTCTGACCAGCTGTTGTTTAAAGAAAGCTCCAACATACAAAGGAGAGCCAGAATCCAAAGTGCTTGTTGAACCCCCAAGTTAAGGTCAGGCTGTCCTCATTCTTATGGGGAAAAATGTGCAGATTTGTCAAAGGCTCTAGTGTGTCCTAGTTATACAGAAGACATTCCTGCACCGAGTTCTGGAATTACTGAGATAGTGCTGTCAGTTTCAACACATTATTTTTCTGCAGCAAACGGGTGCATTTTACCCCAAACAGGATTATTATATAGGCCAAAGTCTGCATTTGGAGCTTTGCAGGCTGGTGGTGACATCAGTTGCAGGTTTGTCCATCCCATCAGAACATTTACTTTCCACGTTGTTTGGCATTTCTTTCACTTGCCAATTTTAGCTTTTCTTTCACTTCTTTTTAGTGCTTTAGAGACTAAAAGTCGGTTAGAATTGGAAAAACATTGTGGTTTTTATAAAAACCTTCAGGAGAGAAATGAAAGAAAAGAAAAAAATCCCTTCACAACAATATCCCTCCTTATTAATAAATGATGGTTTGGGAATGACGATCCCACCTACCAACACTATAACCCAGTTTGTGAATGAGCCATGCCGGCGGTTGTAATAAAACAGCAAAGACCAACCTGGTTGTTGACCATCTAACATCTTTACATAGGCTTCCTTTGTCTCTGAACTTGGACTGTTATCTCTCTGCATCCAGTGTTCCCATTGGATGAAGGCACTTGGTATATAACGGCGTGATGAAAGCTGCATCTGACCATAAAACATCCTCATCTGATTACAAAAAAATGGCTAACAACTTGATATTCACAACTTGTTGGACAATAAGCGCCGCCTGCTTTAGTGTTTTATTCAAGAAGATATGAAAGTAGTGATTGAGCCCATAAACAAAAGTGTTTCCTGAGGTCAAAGATTCATAGTTTTCCCATAGACTTCTATAAAGTCTGATCTCTTTTTGCAACCGGACCGATCACCGCCCTGCTAGCCATGAGAAAGAATGTGTTATTAAGGTAATTCTGGATGGGCTTGACTTTTGAGACTCAGAAGCAATGTTCCCTCTAATTTTTCACGTGTCTGAGCGAACACACAAACTCCCTGAGCGTCCCTTGGACCACTGTGAGCAACAGCAGACGTGTGCACTGTGGTCACGCCAGCATCCAATCCATCCAAGATACATGGTTTATTAAAATAATCAAATTACAGCATTTACATTCATTTTTTAATTAACTGCTTTAGCCCACTTACAATGAAAGTGTAAAAAAAAAAAAACTGTTAACACCATTGGAAGTAAAAATAACTTGAACTCCAATTTTGAAAACACAACTTTCTTTTTTTTTTATTTTTTATTTTTTTTTATAAAGCTCTGACTTGTATTATGAGTCTGTGGTCTGGGAGAGAGTCTGTAACTCTGCAAAATACAGTATATATTGACCAATGTTGGGCAATTAATTATATAGTTACTTCTTCAAAAAGTAACTGAGTTATGCAAACAAAGTTTTTTGCAGCTGTTTACCTAAAAATGCAGCCAAGGTGTTTTTTTTAATAAACATTTCAAACTATTTACAGAACAATCAGCTGTTCTGCATCAAATTATTTGTGCCACTCCTAAAAATAATTTCTGTCCACTATGAGATGAAGGAGAACAACAGCCTGATACCTGCAGGCCTGACAGCAGCAGATGTATCACTGCTGTAACACTCAGCAGTCACCTCATGGTGTCTAACAGTTTGGTCAGGACTGGACTGGGACAAAAAATCGGCCCGGGCATTTTGACTAGAGACCAGCCCCCCAGGTATTATAGGAAAAGCCATAAAGCCTTTGAATGAAAACAGACACTGTT